TACTCCCTTGGATGGAATAAAATTAACTAGGGATCCTTATAGAATCTTTTTTTTTTCGGGTTTGAATCAACATTCTTATGGGAGCTGTTTCCTTTAATTTTTTTTCTTTCTATTTTCATGGAGTAGTAGTACTTTTCTGTCTCTGCTTTTTGTTTGACTTTTTTTTTTTTTCCTCCAAGACATAGAAAAGAGAACTGTCGGGGCCTAAGCCAGAGATGCTGTACTCCCTCAGCTTCTTTTTCTGCAGAGAGAATTAGATCCACTCTTTATTTTCCAGGATTATGCATAAGAGATACACACGCTTGTTTATTTTCACCGAAATAACAGCCACTCAGATAATTCCTGACCCATATATTGCTGCATAGGCTGCGTCCTAAAAGCCAGGCTTTAAAGGACCACTGTTTCCTCCTACAAGTATTCTACCTTCTTTAACTTTTAAATGCCACATGTTATGCTTAGGCTGATTTACAAGGTGTTTTCATCATCTTTCAGACTAATCAGTGCAAAAACCTCCAGTAATCTCACTTAACTGAGATATCAAACTTAAGAGCTCCATCACCTGAGGCTCTTTTTGGAGGAGCTGTTTTCAAAATTCAAGTCATCCCCAGGTACATGTCTCTCCTGTGGCAAACAGAGGTGTCTGGAATCATAGTTTAGATGCTTTGGTCAGGTTGGATGAATTTGGCCGTTACCTATATAGCTTTTAGCAAAAAATATGTATGTTTCCAGAAAGTGTAATCTAATTCTGAGTGTCTTGGAGAATCATAGCAGAACATGAAATATTTCTTTGTTTACAAGTTCATAACTTTTTTCTTCCCCCAACAGAGGCTGCTATTGACCCCCCTAACACACCTGACAGTGAAGCTCTGTTTACGAGACTGCGCAATCCAAGCACAGGCAAGTTTGGGAATTGTGACATGGGTCTGTTAATGTTCTGGCTGATTCCTTCCATCACCAAAATATTCATGTTTTGCAAGCTGAAATAATGATGATAGTGTAAGTCCTGTGTGCCAAAGATATTGCTGGTGTTGCCAGATAGTTAATACTATGCAAACATTTAGGATTTCTTTTATAATTTTAATTGGTTGAACTGTTTATTCATCAGGATTATTGGCAGCACAAAAAAAAAGAAGTGTAATTTGAGTTTTGTTTTTAAGTTGATTAGTTTGGGGGAATTTTCAGTGTAGGGAGTTGAACTTGGGCACTTTTTTTTAAAATCCAAATTTAGGGTTTAGCTATTCAACTCGGGCTATAAAATAAATAATCAGAGTTAGGAAAAGGTGACTCAATTATAGTTACCAAACTTTCTGAGTCTTTATTATTTTTAAATCTAATTTTCTTCTTTCCTTGGTCCAGATAGTATATCTCTTTTCTTATTAATAGATGATGAGACACTTTGAATTAGAAACACATTGGAAGGACCAACTAATGCTGGCAGTTTAATGACCCTCTCTCCATCCCACAAACAATCACTTTCTTTAGTCAGATTACCCTTTTTGTCAAGCGATGTAGTAATTGCAGTATTACATACAGCAACAAAAACTTGCAGTAAACCTAGGTTAGGTTTAACATATTTTGTTTGAAAAATCTGGTTTGTGTTTTTTTCATGCTATTTTGTGTTATTATCTGGTTCTTGTTTCATCTCTTTTCATAAGCTTATTTGTTTTGTATAGAATTAAGCTGTATGTTTTGTTTTAAAATTCACTGTTCATATTCACTTATGTTTGTAACAGAAGTCTTTGCATACTTTTTAATATCACAGTATATTAATTTCTACTTGTTCTTGAAAGAGGTTAATAATTTAAAACACTAGATGCAGAATATGAGATCATCTATTGTCATGGTACCTTTTTTTAGATTGTTCAGAAATTACAGAAAAATATATGACCACAGGTATTTTCCACTTGCTGTATTATACTCGTTTTGTGATTTATGTTTGCAAAAGCATTGCTATTAATTTGTGTTTTGCCGTGGAGGAAAAGATCTGTTTAGTTCATAGAATCAGAGATCTTGGGAAAGGTTTCTAGGGAAAACCTGAAGTGCAGTGATTTGACCAAAAGCCTGGGTGTGTTCCTTTAGAATTTACAGAAGTTTACTTATGGATTTGCCTAAACCTTCAGTTATGTAGCCTATTAGAAGAAGAGGGTTTAAAAATGGAAGGATTGAAAACACCCTCTTAATGTCTTTTCCTTACATTTGGGTTTAGTAGATGAATTGTTGATGCCAGATATGGTATAATACCCACTGAAGGACTCAGCGCTATAGAATTCATGCTATATACTTTCTTAAACAAAAGTACTCATGGTCCTTTTTATAGACAGGAAAAAAGGACAAGGACCCTTTTCTATCCTTTACAGAGAAGGCAGAGTAGGGTTTCAGCCTGCACTTCAGAAGTAAGACAAGAACCAGCAAAGTGCTGAACTAAAGGAAGGGGAAATCAAGCCCACACCTCTTGGGTTGGGCAGCCAACAGAAGCTGTCAAGTTGGGAGCAAAGCTGCCCTAGGTTCGCCCTCTGGCCCCTGAAGTTTCTCTCTAGTGACACTGGTGGGAAGCCTGTGCTGATCTTTTAAAATAAGAGAATAAATTCAGGAGCTAAAATTAGTAGGGATGCTCCCTTTCCCAGCATTCCCCATCTCTCCACTGCATTTGGCCAGTGTGCGCGCTGGTGGGAGTCTTAAATTGTGCGGTGAGCACTTCGGGGAGCAGCTGGACATCCAGCACTGATGAGACCATGGAGTTGCCTCTCCATTGAGAGCACGTGGTAATGACGGAAACCTCTGCTCTCCCTTCCATCTACTCTTCACTCCTCCTCCCCTCCCCAAAAGAAAAATGATGATCAGAGAATTGAAACTGTACCCTTAGGTGAGGTTAAACATCTGGTCAGCCTTTTGGATAAAGAGGGAGAAAAAACATAATCAGTCTTTCCTGTGATGAGAGGTGTCTGCCTTTTTTATCTGGCCTTCCTCGGCATCTGGGGTCTCCAGAGCCCGCGAGCAGCACTGCCAACATCAGCTTGCAGGGGCCTGCGCAGAGACTTTTTTTTGAGCCAGCCCATGATCTGCAGGTGAGTGCTGCTTTTATGAGCAGGACTGCCATGTTGCAGTTGCTCACGTCTTACCCCATCTTCTTCATTTTTCTCAGTGGAGATGAGTCAAGCCAACAGACTTAACACGCCAATTTATAGTGATGTCTTCTGTAGTTCTGGTGTCTTCCTGTTTTAGATATGGATAATGCCAATCCTGTTTGCAGCATCTCCATTATCTCCAGAACTCGTGTGAAATACCACACAGGTGGCCTAAAACAAAGCTTCTCCCCCCACCCCCAATAATGACACAGATGGACACTTTGAAGCAACTTCTTTCAGCTACTTTCTTCTCCCCAGACTAAAACATCTGCAGTGCATTTCAGTGGATATTCAAAAATTATTTCAAATTGTCACTTGAAGGTTTGAGGATTTTGTTTCCCCTACTGCTGAGTTTGGTATCTCGAGACTGGCCTGAGGAAGGGAGGAGAAGTTTTCTTGTTATCCACCTCCCCTTTAGTACAGACAAAAGCTAATTCCGTGTGTGATTTTGATTTGGGTTTGGATCAAAGGCTTTGTGTTGTAAGATGCACTATTCACACATCTTATTTATTGATTCAAATTCAGTTTGGTTTATAGAGCTGGTAAACGAACATCTGTATATAATAGTTTTCTTTGTCTGAGCTTTCTTTGTAGTGAGTTTATGTAGAATGCGTGTATGATTTTGTGTGTGTGTGTATAAGGCACATTCTCCCGACGTATTGGGTATTCTTTTGATTTTTCTGAAAGCTTACAAACACAAACCAGATTTCTTTTCAACAGGGGAAGCAACTCTTTACTTATTCAATAGTGGTGCACAGCAGCTGTTTGAAGTAAAATGTTTTCAAGAGGAGTATCATTCCTGGTTTATAGGTCAGACGGTTGAACAAGGTGAGCAATATAACGTATCCTTTCCCCAACTGTAACTAATGTTCAAGCTCAGACTTTCTCCCTGTCTTGTAATAAATTTACAGGTGTTTCTCCTACTTGTTGAGGCATGTTGCATCACTTCCCCACCTTCTGACACACTCATTTACCATCTGGACTTAACCAAGGCTGGGGGCTTTGTGGTCTCCCTTTAAAAGGCTGCCTTTGGCAGTGTCAATTAGACAGATGTTCATTTGTCTTTTTTGGTGGGGGGAAGAGTCACTCAATTGAATTTAAACTGAAATGCCATAAAGTACTTAGCTTGCCTTGTCAATCAAACCAGCAAATTCTTCATGTAAGTATAATATATTTTATTCTAGGGGAAAGAAAAGAGACTGCATGGCCTGAGCTATGTAAGCAGAGCAGTATGTTAGAGCTCCAAGCATTACAATGTGTGTCCTTGCTTTTGACTACTCTAGTGTCTTGTGTGAGTTTTGGGATCTTAAGATGGGGCTGTTGTCTGAAGGTGCCATTTCAGAGTTTAGGTACATAGAGCAAGCGATAGGTATTCATTCAGGAGGCAAAACTTGATTTGTTTTGTCCTTTTGTTGACTAGAAAATACCTTTTATAATAACAAATAAAATCAACTCCACCAGAGGTGTGCCTCCTTTAATGGCAATATCCCAAAGCATGTGTTAACTTTTCAATGTCCTTTGCAGGTGCATTTAGCAATGCAAGTGGTATGTCTGTGAGCTTTGCCTTGCTCCATCTGGGGGTGAGCCAAGAGACTGGCTCTGCTCTCTGCTCCCAATTATGACCACATTATACTCTCCCTCTCCCTCTATTTTGGCCTTGGGAAATAGTTGCCCTCAGGAGTCATCACCATAACTTTTCTTTAAGAGATACAGGGGAAAAATTGTTCCTGAATGTTAGGGCTGTTGCATCTCAGAAATGCTCAGGGGAAGAACAGAATGCTAAAGCTGCGTGTTTGCAGTTAAAGCAAATGATCTACATACCTGCAAGGAAGGGCAGAAGGCTTTGTAACCTACAGTGTGTCTGTGCACTGGAGGTGCTGTGGAGAGCATTTACGCAGGAGCTTTGGGAAAGGGGCTCGTGCCTTTTTCTTCCAGTTTTATTAGCAAAACCTTCAGGTTTGTGAGTAAGAAATTTGGGTGCTTTCTTTGCGAATGGATGTGTAGTTGAGTTTGAGAACATGCTTTGCCTGATCCTTGTCCAGGGACTATATCATCTTGTGGTCCTGGACTTCATACATGCGAGTATAAGTGAGTTCACAAACTCACAGCTGGAGAAAAACTTCAGCCTGAATGCCCTAGACTCTCTTGATTTTGCTTGTATGTGCTCATGTGCATCAGCTCATCCCACACGCTCCGTGCCGTATGTTCTTCTGTTTAAACTAGGCGTTAGACCCACTTTGGGAGGGTTTGCTTTTGGTTTCCTGCTTTTGGTTTGATGTCAACTTGTCATCAATTGTTGGGTCTCATTAGTGCCCTTCCTTCATGTTGTTTCATTTGCAATTTTGTGCATTTATATGAAAAGCCAGGTTAAGCCACTGTCCTGCATTGAGCTCCGTATGGGCAGAGGTGTCTGTTTCAATGGGAGACCAGGGCCTTTCCTGTCTGCAGTTTTGAACACACAAAGCTGCAATTTCTGATCTATTTCAGTTTGTTTTGTTCTGTTGTGAAACCGCATGGACATTCTGCACTCGCAGATGATATCTCTTGCCTTTGTAAAGCAGGCAGAGGCAGCTCTAACTGAGCAAACTCTCGGAATTATTTTTTCTATTATGTCTTCTGCCAGAACAGCATTGGTTGCCCAGTATTTGGGGTGGAGTATACAGGGCAGGATGGATGTCCCAAAGCAAGGGGCTGTTATGCCCAGTTCTGCCAAGAGAGGGCAGCTTTAATTTTGCAGTTTTTAATATAGCCCAGGCAAAACTGAGTAAGTATGTTTGAAGCCAGAAAACCCGCAGCAGAGCTGACAATTTGAGCTCTCTCTGCATTTTTAATATCAAGTCACAATTACTCTTTTCCCTTCTATTTTCTTGATATATTGAAATGTTTTATGTTTAAAAAATTCCTCCTACCCACACCCCTGAGAAACATCCTTTCAAAAAAAGAAAAAAAAGAGAGATTAAACAAAATACTTGTGCTTCATGCTGCTAAGCGTTCCTTTACGTGTCTCACTTAGATGGGCGTCTACTGTTTGTGACACCGATGGATCCCTTGTTTCTGATACTTTATTACCTTATAAAGGCATACAAAGAGGTAAGCGTGCTTTATTTTTTCACTGGAATTCTTAGGTGAAAATGTTATTTCTGACTTCATTTTCTGCAGAAGGTAATTTAGTTTTATAAAGAGGAAAGAGGTACTTCGTGTTATGGGAAGTTTAGTTTGTGTTTAGAACAGAGGTCCACCACAGAGTTATTTTTGTTTCCACCAACTTTTCTTAATCAGTAAATTATGTGCAAGGAGTCGCCTCACAGTCTGAACAAATATTAATCCTCCCTGTAAGAGAAGGATGTCTCTTTTGTCCTTTTGTGAGAGCCTATCCAACAGAATATTGGATTTAAAGTGATCAGATGTGATCAAAAAGGAAAACCCAAGACTGCTGCTACTTCTGCTGCCTCAGTAGATTATTCATTTTGGGGAAGAGAGAAAGAAAGGATGCTGTGGGTACCAAAAGAAAGATTTGGATGCTATGGGGAAGGAAGAAGTAACATTTCTGTGGCAGATTGATCCTCGAAGGAAAAGTTGCCTTTTTAGAAACCGTATTTGTAGAGATCATTTATCACGGAATGCCAAAGCAATGATCAAGTATCCAGAAGATAGATAATTGATAAGTTGCTTTATCATGAATGTTGCAAAACCTCATGTAAATTTAAGAAGTATCTCAAAAGTCATAGGCAATGCTTTTGATTTACTGGTTATAATCTTCTGCCTTTGAACAAAAGGGCATAAAAGAAAATGTCAATGTCGATCCTTGTTTCCTATTTGATGAAGGCAGTAGTTTCACTTTATGCATCCTAAGAGCTTTTTTTTCTAAGAACATTTCTTATAAGGTTGCTTGCTATTTTCTGCTTTCAGTTGCAAGTAGAGAATGCAGGAAAATATTTTTTATATGCTGGACAAATAGAGTCCTGTTACAGACTTGTAATAGTAATCTATTGCTCTATAATTATTTTAAATCTTTTTATGACATAGGGTATGCAAATGTGTTCTGTATTTCTGTGCTCTATTCAGAGTGGCCCATGAGAAGTAATTTCATAGCGGTAGTTTAGCTGTTTCTCTGCATACTATATTCTACCAAACTTAAGTTATGGAAATAGTAAATCCCCTCTGTCTATAAGATAGAGTGCTGAGGAACACTAAGGAAGGACAAGGAAGAGTGTTGCTGCTCTTTCTGTGCCTGGAAAGAGTCTTGTGTGGCTCATTGCTTCCTAAGTACCAGGTTCTGGGAGGGTTTTCACAGAATCACAGACTGGTTGAGGTTGGAAGGGACCTCTAGAGATCTTCTAGTCTCAGCCCCCTGCTCAAGCAGGGACACCTAGAGCATGTAAGGCCAGGCATAGTGCCAGATAAGGGCACAGAGCTGCTCTGGGTACCAAACCAGGACAAACAGTTTCCTGCAGTGCTGTGCACAAAGTATCATGTTCTGCAGTAAAAGGAAGTCGCCAGTAGAAATGTTGCCTGCTTGTCCCTGTGCAGAGCCAGCTTCTGTCCCGCAGGCTTTCTTGGCTTATGCTCTGTGCACAGCGTGAGCGTTGGCTGCATTGCCTCAGGACACAAGTGCAGGTAAGTTTTCCACAGGTTACAAGAGTTGATTACAGCTTTACTGCTGCCTCTTACAACCGTCCTTTTGCCTCTCTAATTTTGTCCTTTCTTCTTCCTCAGGAAAAAGATAAAATCCTTTTTGTTTTGCTTTTTACCTGATTTAACTGTGGATGGTTGTTTTTATTAGGCCTCTGACTGTCTAGTAGAAGGATTGATTAATGATGAAAGCAATTTACCCACGTGCTTTTTTTCATGCTCATCGGCGTAGTGGTTTCACCCTTGGCTCGCTGAAGCTGGGTGCTCTGTCAGAATGGAGAGCTCACTGGGTCTCTACTGATGAGCTAAAGGGTCTTTGCAAGAGGAGGGCTGCTCATGGTGCCAGACGGTCCTCAGTGATTATGCATTATTTGGCAACAGCAGGATTTGTTTGATGGTTCTGTCATGTATGGGACTATTTAGGTTCTGCCAGAATCACTTTATATCCATACTCTGGCCAAACTGGAATTGACTTTGCAGAGGTGAAAGGTTAATACTGTGTACCAGAAGGTGCCCTTCTGCTTTGAGATTTATCTTTATGGAGGGAAAAGCAAGATTTGCATGGAAGTTATAATGCTGGGTTTAATCCAGCAGGTTTTGGTCTAAAACACTATTGGCACACGCCAACTACTGTGTCTTCTGTCATCTTCCAAAAAAATCCCCTGTGCTTCACATTAGTTTCTCCACATATTGTTTTAAATTTGGGCTTTTAAGTGCATTAATTGGAGAGTTCAGCATTTTACAGGTATTTACTGGTTTGAAATAAATATTTATAGTTACTTTGTAATCATTTTCTGAATGTGTCATGTGGTACCATTTGAAATAAGACCTTCTCTAAATACTTTACTTTAAAGCTATGACTACTGCATACATCTATATGCACACACACATATATATTTATATACATATGGCTTAACAACAGCTTAGTCTTAGTCTGTTGTTATTTATGATAATGCTTTTAGAATCCTTTTGATGTTTTTTTTTTCAGAATGGAAAGTTTCAGCCTCTGGATCAAGTTGTGCTAGACTCTGAGTATCCCTACTGCTCATGGTTGCTGAAGTGTACAGATGTTAAACAGTACATACATCATGTAACAGAAGAAAAAGGTAAAAAAATAAAAATAAAAAGATAAAAAAATGAGTTTATTAGTTCCACTAACTCCTGGTGGAGAAGAAGTACTTCTGGAAGATGGTTAATTCATCTGTCTTAATCAGCTTTCTCAGATTCGGAAGAATCATCATTTGAAGGGTATCTTTCCCTCAGATGATTATGGGCAGAGCAACCACTGCTGTGGTTAGGTGGGGTGAATCTCCTGCTGTTGTCATGTACACAGCGCCATTTTTCAGGATGGAACAGTACTGTAAAAACAGAAGCTTTTGCTTAAACCTGTTCATTGTAAATGAGATACGTGAATCTCAGATTATCTGCTGTAGCTCTAAATTAGTTCTGCAGTCCTGTTGCATGGTGTGGTATAAAAATGATAAACTGGCCAGAGTTGGCTTATTAGGCCTTAATGTATATGCTGTGAACTTTCCTTGCCTTGTGCTGAAAGTTGCACCACTGTGAATTCTTTCTTTAGGATAGGATGATCTAATGAGGAAGAAGTGAACCACTGTCCACGTGGCCCCTTTCCTCCCTTTGCAGCAGAGCATTCAAACAAGAAGTAGGTAAAAGCAGGAGAAGGGTGAATATGCTGCTGAGAAAGGCAAGCAGTTTTCTAGCTTAGCATAATTCAGCACTGTGGACATAATTCAGCATTGTGTAATTTGGTATGTGTTCAAGGACTTAGTTTTCTTAAAATAAGAACCTTGCTTGGGATATGTAAGTGTGTATGAAAGAACCTAGGTGTAAGAAGGTAGTTAGGTATCAATTCTATACTTTTTGCCCTCAACCTTTGTCCAGAGTTCCCTTTGCTGTAGAGTTTTTTATATTATTTGAGCACAATGTATGTATGACCTTTAGGGAAGAGAAAAGAGCGTTACATGGTTTTTGCAGCTTGGCAGACCTGTATAAGATGGAAGACTTCAGTTTTTATAGAGCATTGTCTGTCTTGTACCGGCTTCCCAATAGTGAATGGAAATCTAGCTGTACAGGAAGGGGTACAGGAGTCTGAGAACATGGAATCTCTGTGGCGTTTCCTTTTACTCCTCTACCACCAAGTGAAAACAAGACAACTCCCTGACCCTTTCATTTGTAGGGCTGCTGTAAGGGGTTGAGGTGAACAGACTAGAAGCCAGAGATGTTAGGGATTTGCATTCACAAAGTGCTCAGCCCTTGTCACTGCTATCTACGAGAAGAAATGCTTAGGTGTTCTCCTACAGCTAACTGGAAAGTGACTGAGTCAGGCTGTTGGAAGAACAAACACCCTGATAAGAAGTAAAAGACCGTTTATTGCTGCATAAAACGTTAACATGGAGAGATGTGAGTTTTCCCTGAAGGATTTAGATGCATGCATTTATTCTTTTCCTGTATTAAGTGGTTCATATGCGGTAATGTGAAACAGAATAGAACATGTTCCTGTATTAATGATCATGTTTATGTTTATGTTTAAAGCTGAGTAGGACATTTGTGCAGCAAAACAGTTATTATATTTTGCTGGGGCTGGGTTAGCTGGCATGGTGTGCTGCCGGGCTATGCCGGGATTTCCAAAGGATCTTCAGAAAGCATTAAGTTGTGCTCAGTATCACTGGGAGGAAGCAACCCTTTTCTTAACATGACTTATTTATGACTTTTGAGAAGGTTTATCTGAGATGCATCTGTAGCCTCTTTCTGCTTTTGCCTTCCTGTAAAGTGCTAAATGTTTCCATTAGAAATGAATAGTAAAGTTGTAGGCAATTGCTGTCCCTGCAACTTGTCTGATATTACCTAAGGAGCTAAGGGTTGGGGCTGGGCTACTAATGTTGTGCTCACCAACCTGAGAAGGTGAAAAACCTTCCTGTTGAGTTGAGGAGCTCAAACAGGGCAAGGCCAGAAATTTCCTTCTGGAGGGGCATTTCCTATGAACAAGGGGCCTGTCTTTGGGCAATGTTTAAATTTTCCTCTTGATACCAAAGGAAAAATGTTTTAAATAGCAGTCTTTGCCATAGAGAAGGTCTTGCATCCTGTTCTAACTTCTGTATCCATTCTGGATATCACATTGGCAGCTGTAATCCACCAGAGCATCCTGTAAAAGTGCACTCCGCTAGACAACTGCAAATGCCTCGCCTCTTGATTTTATTTTTTGCTTGTTGTTTTTAAAAACACTTATAAGCCTGGGTTGTCATTTCGACCACTGATACTAACCATTCAATAAATTATTTTTACTTCCTGTTCTTTGTTTTGAGGTGTAATATAAAAAGTGCTATTGACATTAATATTATACACACTTATAAACTCTGTCTGTATACAATGTTCCTCAATGCTCCTGAACATGTACCTGGTATTTTTTGTCTTGCTTGGGTTTGGTTTGGGATGAAGTACCAGAAATGTATCTTGTTCTTTAGATTTTTTTTTTCAAATATTTTAAAACACCAGGATTATTGTTACGCAGCAACCTTGTTGAAACTTGGCTATCGTGCATAAATCACCCTTCTGTTCAATCAACATCCCTCTGATATTCTCTTGTCTGTTGTTACCTGTAAAAAATATCCACTTTTTCAAGAATACTTGCACTTTTCTAGCTGTATGACCTGTTGTCTGTCTTGTAAGTTTGTTTAAGGCTTGCAGTTCCAGGGCAAGCAGTGTCTGTTGGGCTGAGTCTTCCGCAGCTCTGATCTGTTTGGCAGAACCTAACAACATAATTACCTAACTCTTAATTTAATCTCAGGACATTTGACATCTGTATAACAAATGCTTGCCCTAGAGCACTCAAGAGTTTACACTTAGTAGATCAGCAGAAAGTCCACCTTCTCTGACCTCTGTGTTGAAGATCTATGAAAATTCATTTTGCTGGATAAAATTCCCATTTACCTGCGGTAGTAGTTGGGGAAAGGGTGTGTTCCAGCTGGCTAAAGCTGGGTGAAGCAGGTTGTTTGCTAATAAATTCAAATTCAGGGTAGTGAGTAGAACGGAGAAGGTTTAAGAAAAGGGTTATGAACTCCGGTTCGAGAGTGTTATTCTTTGTTTCATTTTGCCAGGCAAAAATTGTGCTATGATCTTGTCTGATGTGATTAACATGAAGAGCCAAGAAAACTTACCTGATTAGAATAACTAAGTAATATTGCCAAGCTTGTATTCCCAGAAGGTAGGAAAAAAGGGGCCATATGAGTTTCTGGGTTATGGAAAACACTGAGAAAATGGATGTTAAAATGTGCTTTAGGCAGTTTGCTAAACAATACATCAGGGAAACTTTCAAGTCTACATAGCGATTACCCGATCGCTGAACATATTATTTAATTGTAGAACCACTTATATTCCATCTGTATTTCTCAAACCCAATCTTTCCAGATGTCTCAGACCAGTTTTATAGGCACCAGACACATTAGGGAACAAAAGGCTTTCCAATATATACTCGTATTATCAAACATAGTCGCTAACTCTCACCACTATCAAATGTGCATCACATGTTAAATCCACGTTCCAATATTGAATCCTTTTGTCAGCAGTTTGTGACTTTCATAACTCACTTTAATTCTTCAGAGGTCTCAAATATTGTCAGTTTCTAGAGTTTAATAGTCAAAACTGTCAAGCACACAAAATATTTTCAAACAAAGTGATCTCCGAAGGGTTTGGTGTAATTATTTTTCACATGTTTTAATGAAAATGGCTTCACAGTTCTGCATTTCCTTTCCCTAACCGAGTCACTCTGAATCATGCCGTTGTGGGGGAGTCTGCCTGGGAATCTGGACTAGAGCTGCTTTTCAGCACGGCCTGGGGGATGGTGGCAGGAGGATGTCCCTTTCTCGAACTTTCTCAGATAAGGGAGGAATCCGTGAATCGTACTCACTGTTCTTGGACAGCATTAGCTCTTTGAGAAGCAGGTTCACGTATCCAGAGTCTCTCCCCCATTTTCTCTGCTGCGTTTCTTTCAGAACTGTGGCTGCAGCCAGCTGTGTCACAGCTAATTACTTTACCTGCAACTCATCAGCTTCATGAAGCAAAGTTTATTAATATTTTTTTTCCTTTTTTTGCTCTGAAGAATTTTTGCTTTTTACTCTCCTACAACCATTGAGATGGATTTGAACTTTATCTTGTGTGCAGCCTTTCCCAACCTCTTCATTCCCCCTGTCATGCGTACACAAAGAGTGCATAATAGTTAGATATTTGTATGCAATTTGAAAGAGCCAAAATAAAACCCAAAGAAGGAAATGCTGAAGGAATCATAAATAATGTGTTGTTGATTGTTTGCAAAAGAAAGAAACTTTGTGAACCCAGTGCTGGAATATGAAATTGGATCAGTAAATGACGTGAAACAGATGTAGGTATTTATGGGAATAGTGTACAAGAGATTAAAACTTACTGAAATACCTGTTTGAAGAACAAGATTGAATCACAGTGGGCTCTAAAATCTCCTAGGTAGTCTTATTAACATTCCATTCCATTTCCAAAATGTAGCAGTCTATGAATTCATACTTAATATTTTTATCATGAATTTTCTATGAGCCTTTGTATTTTTTTTCTCCTTTGCCTCAGCATCCTGAGCTCACATACCTCCAAATAACTGATCACATGTGAACAGCCAATGTTTGTGGTACCCTGGTTATCACAGGGGAAACACTTTCTGAAATTCTTATATCATCACATTAATTTACGTTGCTCAATAAATCATAAATGAATCCTCTACTTCCTCCCACAAGGAATGTGTTTCACTATTTTGAATTCTGGGTTTTCTTCTGACATTTTATTAAACCATGTAAAGGAGGTTGGAAGTGAATGCTTTGCTGTAGTCACCCTGTGAAGTGAGTTGGGGGAGTTGATAGGAAAGGGGATTATTGAAAGGGCAGGTGGTTTATCTTCACTAACCATCTCTGTCTTGGCCCCATTACCAAGGGCCTGGAATTCATGAAGTAAAGATTTAAGACTTTTATTTTGTTTCTTTTTATTATTTTTAAGCAGTCATGGACTCAGCCTTTTATGCAACAAACTGGATAGCTAAAATGACCAGTCTGGTGATACAAGGCAGCAAGGTCTGACAAACGACAAAATCTTGAGAAGAGTCTTTATGCAGCCTAGGATTGCATTTGTATATAAAAAGTATGTGCTTCGATGGATTAGAGCTTAGTAAGAGAATTTTTAAGTTGTTCTAACTTGTGAATATCAGCTCAGTCTCAGTCACAATATTTTTGAAACTTATTACCCTGATATCAAACAGGTGCCAGCCACAATTTAACTTCCATGCTATATTTGCATCTTACAAGGTTTTAAATGCATTGAAAATGCAAAATAACCCACTTATTACTTTTCTTCCTTCTATTTGTTTTATCTCAGAGATTGGCAGTCAGAAATTTCACAGATACAGTCAAGAGAAGACATTGAAGTGGTTAAAGAAAAAGGTATTGTGATTTTCTTTTGCTTTAAAATTAGCTTTTTGTTCAAAATGAAAATGCTTATTAAGTTGTCCATGCTGTATATGAGTCACGTAGCATGTCTCAGGTCAGGGTCCAGGCCCCATCCATGGACAGACACTGCATTAAAGCTATTGAGCTTGGGAATGTGAATCCTGGTGCAGTCTGTGCTTTGACATAAAGGAGATGAATTTAATATATTGCCTTTTATGGACTTATAGGAATACTTCATAGCTGTGATAAGGGACAAATAATAAGAATCAAACTGAGGCATTGAGATATCTTCTTTTGCAACGAAAACTTTAGTATTTGTATTTGAACAGGCAACTGTTTGCCTTGTTGACAACCCCTTGTTCTGCCGGTAGTTTGTGGTCAGATCCAGTAGAGCGGTGCCATTGGGTGTCCCGAAGCTCAGGTTGTCCTCAGGACCACCTTGGTGACCCACCTGAACACGAGCATTCCCAAGAGAAGCCCCTGCCCTCCTCACAGGTGAATCTCTCACCTGGGTGATCATGGCTACGGCCCCCGAATCTCTCCACTCATCCCAGGGGGCTGCACAACTGGTGCTGTGTTGCCAAGGCAGCACGTTCAAAGACATGCTGGTTTCTTGGGGGTTTTTGAACTCATATGCTAGTCATTACAAATGTATATTAAATTTCACCACAGTCCATAACTTGAGTGTTTTATGTGCTTGAAACAAAATTACAAGAGCTTTGTCACTGCATTAACATGTGCATAACAACACTGATACAGACGTTTCCTTCTGTGGTTTCCTATAGGTCAATCAAACAGTGAAAGCACTTAAAAGCAACAATATAACTGTGGGTCAAAGGGTACAGTCAGCTACATTTATCAGCGGTAACCCAAACCCGGATTCTGAGGAAGGTAAGAAAACTAGGCATTGTAATGAATTGCACTTTGAATAGCATACCTTGAGATTAAATGAGATTTAGAACCTAAAGCTTACTGCAAGTGGCCTTTGCTGTAAAGATATTCCTTGCACAGAAGAAGCCCCGCATATTGTGGCTGTGTGCCCTGAGTTCTTTGACATCTTTGTCAGCTAAAGCTGTAATTAACACTGCATCTTTGCTGGGGTTTTTTAGCTTCTCCTTAGTTCAGGGAAGGGATATATGTTGCTAGCAAAGTATATGCAGAAGTGCTTTGCTGAACTGAGACCATTTTGGAAGGTATGGCACATGCATATAACACGGATAAATATTTACACAGTAAGTGTGACTGTATTAGAACAAACATTACTATTAGCATGCATTCCACAAAGAAAAGAAAAATTAGGAAATTATAGACTGCGTGCTTATGGCCCAAATACGATGATTTTATATGACAAATTTATAGAATTACGCAGGAGTTTACTTGTTAAGGATAAAATGCATAATTATGTATATATTAAGTTTCCCTGAAAGTGATAGTGCTGGTACCAAAAAGTCTAAAGTAATCCTGTATACTTCTAGTCACCTTTTTCCTGGGGGAAAAATATCCTGAATGTCTCTGGGTTATGACGTTAGCTAAAAGAATTTAACTGCAAATGGACTCTACTAAGAAAATACTGCGACATGTTATGAAAATTACAACAGTTTAGAACAAGATGAGCAAAGGCAAATTATTTCTGATTACTAAGACATGCAGAGAAGTGCGGCTGCAACTGAAAAGTAAGAAACAAAGCAACTTGCTGACAAAGTGGAAAATGAGTTACCAAGTAATGATATCAAAGGAAACAACATAAATGAGATTTAAGAGGCAGCTAGACAGTTTTATAGAGTTGAGATTATAATATATCGCTTTTGAAAACAGGCAAAGCTGCAAAACTTGTAAGTGTCTTTATCTTTACAGTAGCTTTTTATCCTTTTCTCAAACCCCTCTTTATAGAGGGGGAAAATGACCTGTCCTGACGGTGACTATCTTGATTGTACTTAAATATTTATCTCTGAAATTTGTAATTAAATAGCTAAACTGCAGTGTTTTTTTCCTGCCTTCTCCCTTGCTTATGCTACCATATATATTTGTCTTCTTAAGAAGTTTTAGAATAGAAAGAAAAGCCCTGACCTGGGGAATATAGGGGGCTGATTTTTGGAGGCAGTCCCACTGCTTATAGCAAGGTGAATGACAAGAAGTCAAATGGATCTTACCCACACTTATTTTTAATAAACCTAATTTTCTTGTCTGGTCCTTTCATTACCATGACAGTACAATTTAATTCTGTTCAGAATTTCTTGCAGATGGTTTTTATGAAATTTCAACGCCCTGTAAATGTGTGGGTATTTATAGGTAGTAACTGTAGATACAGTAGGACAAAAACTTGGGAGTTGATAATGAGTGCCAAGGGGGAAGAAGAGAAGGTTTGGTATTCGGGACTGGAGTGTTCCACTGGGAAGACAAAGAAGGGAGGAGTGCAAATATTCCTTGTGCTTGACAGAAGGTTAATATTGAAGCAAGGCTGGGATGAGGGTGTAAAGTCCTTGGAAGGCAAACAGTGATATTTTAAAATGCATAAGGGAAGTCAGTGAAGATTGCTTCATGGCAAGAAGGAAAAAGGAGAAAAAAAAAAAGGACAAAGTAAATAGATTTTGTGTTTGAATTAAAACTTTAGTTGACTTGGCATCACCATTCAGTATCATAAAGTGTGTGATGATGAGAATATTTTTCTTAAGAGATATATTGGACACAGTAAGTGCTGAGGTGAATTTGTCTTGGTTTGGAATCATTTCTCATTCTCTCCTGCCTTTAAAGTGGACTTTGGGAGTGACAAATAGTTGATGAATGTAGGCAGTGGAGGGAGAAGCAGAGCAGATAGGGGATGCTGAATTTGATGCCAGTCTAGCTGGGGTGAGAGTTTATCAATTCAGTTTATTAATGCTTTCACTGGCTTTCAGTGCCAACTTACATTGGGCTTCTTAGAGAAAAACAGAAGAAATTATCTCTGACATAGAAGAAATAGTTCTTTACTGCTCTGAGATCAGTTTACCATGTTCTTCTGAACTTGCGGAGCATGTAGGAGTATGAACAGCTAGAGCTGTTGGAACGGAATGGAATTCAGAGGTGAGATTTTAGCTCAGTGTCTGTCTGGCAAATACTTCTTGTATATGAGTAACGTTACTTGCAGGCAGCCCCCAAAACTGCAACTTTAAAAAATCCAGCCATGATTAGTAAGTGCTTGTGTAGAACGGTACCAGAAAGTATGTTTCAGGACTTTATGTTGTAAAAGGGTCACTTTTTCTTCCCCTCTTTCAGAGAGGAAAAAAAAAAAGAACACTTATCGCATGAGTGCCCTATACTGAAAACAGTTTCTAGTAGTTCATATTTCCACAGATAATTATCCTGTCTTGCCAGTGATGTTTAGATAGGCCTTGGCATTTTCCGTAAAGTACTGAAATTAACTACAAGACTTTGAAATAGACTCATTGTCTCATCTAATTGTTTTCAGTTGAAGCCAGAAAATGTACTTTAGTACTAAAGCCCTTGCCAAATAATTGTAAGATCCAGATGCTTTAAAATTAATGATTGCGTGTTCTGTTGAGTCAGCTTTTTACTTCTGCAGGTTTTTAAAATTTAATTTCTTCGGAAAAATACATGATATCTACTATTCTCCCAAAGTGAACAGCTTTTGTAAAGTACATACAACAGAGATTAATAACATGTGTTGACAAAGTGAGTGTAGTAAGTCTTCACTTTTTAAATAAACTGACAAGTGTCATATAACATAAACTGCTCAACACAGAGAAGCATCACAGTGTATCCATTAGAAGTCCCTTACTATTAGCTGAACCTTATGATTTATGGACACATGCAGCATGACTATATAACGTGAATATTCTTCTTCTCTTCCTTTCCATTGCCCTGCCTGGTTCCCGAAGACTATGTACGGTATGCCCATGGGTTAATATCGGAATATATTCCTGAGGATCTGAGTAAGGAGTTGTCAAAGTTCTTAGAGTAAGTATTGTTCCAGCTTTAGATTTATGTGGTAGGGATTAATGATCTTCTGGTCATTCCTTTTGAATGCTGAAATGTAGTCATCAAGGCTACAGTGAGAATATATTTGCCACACTTTAAAAGTGTTTTGTTTTCAGATGTGAGTGGTAGATGTATTGTTTCTGTAATGTTTCTGTGATGCTAAAAAGCATGGGCTGAAGGAAAGAGTTAATAATAGCTGGTTCTCTTGTGTCCGTTATCATAGCTTCACCATAAAACCCCAAGCAATTTATCCCCATTTCAAGGAGAAGAAATGGAAATCCAAAGAATTAAATTGAATTGTCCAGAATTGTCAAGCCTGGGAAGCAGAGGCAGCAGCAGGATCCCCGTCCCCTGTCCCGCTCTGTCCTCATGCATTCTCCCTCAACGCTGCTGGGGTTTGAGTTCACGTATCTAACCTGGGCTCATTCGTACCTAGTTCTGGAGGGGCAGCCAGGATCCTCATGGATCCTGTTCTCTGGCCTACTCTCTGCCAGCAGACATTCTTTGTGGCATCGCTGCCACCCTGTATCTGCCCCTGCGCTCAGCTGTGTTATTGTGGCCTAGGGAAGAAATTGTGCAGTTTGCACCTCAGAAGTCTCACAGAGTAAGGGAGATGCTGTATATAATCTTAGTAATATTGGCCAAGGTTATCAGGAGTAATGTGGGGTTCTCCTGTTTTGGCTGCTAAATGTAACTTTTAAAGGAGCCCATGGGCTTTTTTGATGCTTGGCTCTGTTTTAGTCAGCCATACAATGTCCATGAGCCACTTTTTTTTTTTTTTTTTTTTTGTAACACATACTATGTGTGAGCAGTTGGTATCCAAATCCTTTATGGGAAAGGAATTAAGCTTCACGTTGTGTCATTCAGAAGTTTTATTCAGTTGTCTGAAGTTACACTGTAATCTTCTGTTCTGCAGGCTTCCAGAACTCAAAAGCCCAGTACTGGAGCCACAACCGAAGGTAGGAGGATACCAAGAAGAAAGATATTGACACATATATATGTTGTAGGCTAGTTTCTCTGTGTTATTTTTGAAATTAGACTAGGCCAAGCACTGGGTACAATACAATGAGGAAATTGGCCTCGTAAAAACAAAGTCTGAAATAACACAAGAAAGTTAATAGATATTTTTATGTTTATATTAAGCAATATTTTGGTTGGTTTTCCTATTTAAAAAGGGTGAAAGAAAGAAAGAAAGAAAGAAAGAAAGAAAGAAAGAAAGAAAGAAAGAAAGAAAGAAAGAAAGAAAGAAGGAAAGAGACATACTTTATGTTTTTGATCAGCAGTCTTTTCTTACATGGTTTGCTCATTTAGTTTTATTGAGGTTGATGGGACAATATGACCTCATAGTTTTTCTTTCATTTGTAATTTATGAGGACCTTGGAAAGGTCCACCAACCGTGGTGGATAATCTCTCATACACTGACCATTCTCCACTGTAAGTCTCATTAGAATTTTTATTTCCATTACTTCTTGGAAGGCTGTTCTATAACCTCATTCCTCTGATGCTCAGAAACCTTTCTGTAAATTCCACCTTGAATTTATTCATGGCCAGTTTATTCCCTTGCATTTTTGTGCTAGTTTTATCTTTTTTTTTTTTATTGTAATGACTCTTTGCCTTCCTTAACACTAGTTCTCTCAGTATGTAAAGAGAAAACACATATTGTCCCTGTTTTCATTTTGTGAGGCCAAACATGGTTATGTAGAGTGGGTTTTCCATTCTCTCATCATCATAGGCACATTTCTCTGTCTTTTACAAGTTGATAAAATTCCTTGAGAGCAGGTGACCAGAATTATGTGTAACAATTCAGAATAAATTTTTTACCCATGCAGTGTGGTAGCATTCATCCCTTCTCATCCTTCTTGTCCTAACTGCCTTTCTTGTCGTGGGGTGTAGCAGGTAGCTCGTAGTGAGGCTATGAACAGCTAAGACATAGAGGTCTCTTTGTTCCACTGCAATTTCTTGTTGATCAGCATTCAGGAGATACCAGAAATGTATGCAGTTAGTTTTTATGTATATGATCTTATACAGCTGTGTGTTATATCCATTTGTAATGTGCCCAGGCTCCAAGGTTCTCCGGCTTTTCCTTCACAGTGTTACAAGCTCTTTATGTACTGATAATGCTTATCAGTGACATATACTCAGCAAATGTTAGCATTCTGCTCTCTTTAATAAACGTTTAATGAACATTTTGAATAATTATTTCTCAAGGAACCCCAATAGCCAGTACCCTCCACCCAGCCCAGTGCCTTTCCTTCCTGCTTTACCTGCTTTTGTTTCCCTTTCACCCTGCCTTCACATTTTGATGCATTCTTCATTCTCTCTAATATCAGTTTCTCAGCTGGCAACATGTCAAGTGCTCTGGTAATCCCTTACACATTCACCAAACGTATTATCTATGAGAGATACAGCTTTACCTACATTTAGTTTTTCATTTACTCTCTATCTTTAATTATTCTTTTTCCCCTTCAGTTGTGACGCCAATTAAAGAGTCTATTAATGCCAGAATCACTTTTTTCTCCTCCTTATGTGTAGATGAGTGTTTTGCTACTCTGCAGCAATAGAGCCCCTATGTTTGCCAGCTCTTGGTGCTCAGCTTAGATATCTGAGGCAGTCTCCCACCAGCCTTCTACCTTAAATAGAGTGTTTTCCATTCTCTTTTCTGCCCCACTGTTTAACCTCTTCATCTTTATTAGAAACATGTTATTGAGGTAAAGGATTTGCTTCATTTTTCAGCTCTACCTAGATTAGGTTTAATACCTGACCAATCTTTTACTGCATAGCTGCCTTGCTTTGCTTTTTTTGATTCCTTTTTTGCTTCTACGGCTAAACAATGTTTTACTATTTGTTTTAATTTCCCTTCCAAGGTCTAACTCAGCTTGGCTTTTTGGCAGCTTCCACTTTATCCCTGTATTACCTGATCCTGGAAACAAGTTTATTTTTTATCAGACTTTTTTCCATTCATTGTGGGCTTTCTGCTTACTTCTGAAATCTTTTTTTTTTTCTTGGAGAGGGTGTGTTTGTATCTTTGTGAGTGTGTATAAGGGGAGGATTCATCCAGTTTTGTCTGCGACACCCTTTCATAAAGGACTTTTCACCTTGTTTGAAGTAAAAGATCCAAAACCACTTTTTTTCCTGTCTTTTTCTTTTCCAAGTGTCTTCTTGACACATCTTGACAAAAAAAAAAAAAAAAAAAAGCCTTTACTGTGGCTTTGAGAAGTAAGGAGAAGGGTTTGCAAAGTTTGGCCTCCTGGAATCTGCAGTGTTACTTTCGATTATCATTTTCATTTAATTTAAACTGAGGCACCCTGTTTCTGCCGAAACTAGGTTACTTACTGAATGACCTTTTCTGCAATGTCCCTGCTACTTAACGAACCCAGGTTTAAAATAACATCATTTCTGGCTGTTTCAGTGACTGTTTTGTTAAGCAGTATGTCAGCTAGCACATGCAGGAATAATTGGGCCTTACTGTTATTAATAGCATTTGTTCTCCAATGTATATCCATGGATATAAGTTATTTCCATGTGGTTGGACAGTTGTTCTGGCTGCACAGTTACTTGGCCCTTTGATTCTGTTAAGAATTATCTTTATGTATTGTAAGAAATATTAAACACACATCAGGAGCCAACTGATATTCATTAGCCATATAAGCATGTTACAACAACTATATTAAAGTACATGTGATGTGCATTACATATTATGCAGGAATAGCTTTTATACCGTTGGGACAGTTCTGAGAATCTATTTTTAAAAATAGCTTTATTTCAGCAGTTTGGTTACAGAGGAAATGAGGCTTAGAACTGTGTTCAGTTGTTGGGCAGTGAAATATTTCTAAGGATCCCATTAATTTCCAGAGGACTGACCAGGGTGTGCATGATGCAGTGAAGTCTTTGCAGCTCCAGAGCTTAAAACACTCCTTGATTTCACAGCCTCAGAGGAGCAAGGCAGGCTCATACTCTGAAATCTGTAGTCTCCTTTAGACCCTTTCTTATTCACTTGCATTTAAATTTCCCTTAATGAAGGCAAGATCTATTCACAGACACAGTATATGATTATTACCAATGAAGAAGGATCCACCATGTATTTCTTATTGTAGGAAAGAAGCTGCATGTTCACAGATAATGTTAAAATAAATTTTGAAGAGAGGAGAGATTTATGAACTTTGATGCTTGACAGAAAAGCTACAACAGATTCTCTCTAATATGCTAGAATGGAAAACTGGGTACAGTCTGGACTTTGTGATTTAATGATTAAATCAAAATTACATGTTATAGTTAATCCTGGTATTAATTGTAAGCCGCTGATCTTGTGTTGTAATCGTTGCACTGTCCAGCTTCTCAGCATAGGGAACCTGACCACTAAGAGATCTGCTGCAAGCAGACAGTCCACTGAAATGCAAGTGCTTTATAGTAAGATTTAAAAACTTGTTTATCAGTTTCCAAAGAGAGGAGAATAGTCATTATTTTTTTAGGTCGTCATTTGAAAATGTAATCGCAATGCAGTAAACAGCCTCCCAAAGAGGCTGATCCAGATCCCATTGAAATCGAAAGAAAAGGCTGCTGCTGGATCTGGTTCTAAGAGCTGAGAAATCTAAGCTGCAGGCCTGGCTTCTGTGCCAAGGAGAGAGAGAGCAATAGAGGGAGGGAAAGTGAGAGATCAGAAGTGCCATAAACAAAATGAATATAACAGGAGCTTAAAATGGTAATGTACCATCCAAATTGCTCTCAAAATCACTCTCTTTGGCACAAAAACTAGGAAGGCCACAGCTTCGATTTCACAGGATATTAAGGACAGGGTTGTAATATCAGATCTATAATAATAACATGGTGTTGTAAAATACTATGTACTTTTTTCACCCTTTTGGCAACATACCAGAATTTTTTTACCTTTAAGCTGAACACATGCTCACAGTTTATGGAAAGAAATATTCATTCTTATGGCCTGATCATGTAAAGTGCAGAGAGCCCTTAACTTCCATTACTGCTGAATATAGAAGACACCCAATATACATACAGTCAAGCTTCTTAATATACTGTTGGATTCAAGTGATAAAGCAGTCAGCAGATCTGTGTCAGCATTTTCACTGGTGTGAAACTGTAGAAACTAATTACTCTGAGAGGTTGTGCATGAACGGATAGATAGATGATGGTCCACTGGTGTTGCAGACAGCAAGAACACTGCAGCTTCTGGTCCTTCATGGTTCCATGAGACCATGGGCACCCAGCTGTGGCTTCCCTGGCTGTTGGACAGTAGCTTCCAGTAGCTGCTGCACGAAGTTCTCTACATAGAGTTGGACACCAAAGTCAAAACCATGGAAGGTGACAACCAGATTGAATTAATTTCTGTAAGTTGTTCCACAGAAGGCTAAAAGAAGAAAATGCCTCCCGTGACATTAAATAATGTCTTCTAAATACTGCAGAATTGCTATATATTCATGCCTTAAGAAGACCATGATGAGAAGAGTTCTACCAATGTTACTGCATGCTCCTCAGATGCTTTCAAGGCCTGTTTTGGTGCTATGGTTACATTATCAAACCAAAGCTTTAAACTTCCATGTGTGTACGTCATAACAGTGGTTGACAGAGCAACTTCATCACTTTTTAACATTTCAGAAAAGGAAATTATCAGATGTCCCCGTGGAAGCAGAAGAAGACTATACTAAGTTTAACAGCAGCAGCAATCCGAAAAACAAAAAGGTAAGCAAGCCTTGCACAAGGTCCCTTCTTTTCTCCTCCAAACACATCAGAAAAACAAATAGAGAATGACAGATGTCTGCAGCTGTGTTCTGCTTGGCTCTGACTCAGGATGATGAACTTCACTTTTGAAATGGCTTCACCTCAGCAAAGCCAACTCTTCTGAACCAGAGTTTTGAAATGTTTGGTGGTGGCCAATTAAAGTAGGAGATATCTGAAAATGGGAAAGTGGTAACACTTTCCTACCTCTTTTCAAACAATGGTCAGTGATACTGGTTCAGAGAACTGGCAGAAACACAGAAGTGGCAATATAACCTCCCTGAACTTTTCTTTCAGTTTTAGTTTGACTTTGATACTCTTAAGGTCCCACTCTGAACTCCTCTATATTCTCACTGTTTGACTACACTTTTTCTGTGAAACTTGAAGTGACCTTCACAGACTTTAACAAATATGCTGAGGTGATTAGCTAATGTTTGCAAAACTCTGGAGTTCTTTAGGTGAGAAATCCTGTGGCTTAGTGCTAGCAACTGTTAAAATTCAGCTATCTGAAAAATAAAGATGACAGCATTCACATAAATTAACAGGGATTTTAAGACAGGCCTTATTTTTACCAGAAATGTTGCTTGTGCCTTATTTATGTCAATTTAATGAAGCTAAATCAACACTAAACTTGCTGATTGCCAACTTCCATGCAAGTTTTGAGGCCAATTCAAGTCTGAGTCCAGTAGTGTCTGCCACTGTCTCATTCCTTGGGGAGCAGCAGAGATGTGAAAAGAAATAGATTCTGCCTGCGTGTGCCAAGCTTGTTGAGGCTTGCTTGGGTTGTTTCTGTGGACACTGAAAGAAAAGGAATCCTTCTGCAGTCCATTGGGAACCTCTGTGCTGTTCTTGCGACCATCAGACAGACACTGACTACTCTTTATTCCTTTGCAAGCAGCAGCAGCTGGTGACAGATGCATTCCTCCCCTTCCTTCCCCAGCCTCAAACTTTTCTGTGTTTCAGGCACACACTAGTGTGGGAGAAAAGGGTTGTCCCCTAAGTGAAGGTGATAAATAGTTCAAAAAATGCATGGATTTCCTCTCTTCTTCCCATTAGGTACTATAGCTTTTGAACTCAGCATAGACTTAGAGAAAGACTGATGAGAGATAATTCACTTTAAATATGATTTACTTCCAAAATAATGAAGCACATTGATGAGAGAATCTGGGAAAGAAAAGATAGCTCTTGGATTCTGTACAGTATACCACTCTTTTTAAACACTTTGGCAGTGTTTTTGTTTGCACAGTAAGTAACCCAGACAATTATACTGTAGTTGCATATCTCTATCTTATCCAGAACCTTCTAGCTGATCTGAAGTAGTGGAACTGCGAAGTCCCACAGTCTGAGATATATCACAGGAAAAGGTCAAGGCGGAGATTTCTTAATAGGGAAAGCAGCTAGAGATTTAAAACGTAATATTTCAAAACGTAAGAAAGAAAAGAGGTCAGCTCTATAAAATCTGGCTCATAAAATGTGTGTTAGGTGTAAAAGTCTGGGAAGTTTTCCCAATGGCCTCAAAGTGTTTGCGAGTGTTGGTTGCCTTCTTCAGTCCTAGTTCTTCCATCCTTTTTCCCTTTATTTCACTGTACTGCGAGACTTTCATAATAATTCAGTGTGAATTATTCATCATCTCTAAAGCAAGGCTGTAATTCAGCCTGCTGACAACATAATCATGAGATTGAGTTGGAGGGTACAGCATGCATCTGTTATATTGCATGCATTATTCCTCTTAATGTACACTCAGGGATTATTCCAAAGTAAACGTTTGAGTTGGGATGCCTCGTTCTGCAGAAGGGAAAGATGTTTCACCTCCTTGTCCTTGTAATTGATTCCTGTCTTTGTCTGAGGTTAAGTAATTCACGACAAGTATTTTTTCTGTTTGAATTTCTGTCTCAGATTTGTTTTGTAAGGTTCTTTCCTTACAATTTGTATCCTGCATAATATTATCTCTACTGCTGCTTACTGGAAAAAAATCATCTTGCTTGACTTCTGTACATAAGAGTTTATAGCATACACTCCCCTCCTATAGAGATGCTGCTTAACGTTTTCTGTTTCTCATTTCACTAACAGGCGAACAGCAAGATGTCTGCAGCTCAGAAGGCTCTGGCCAAAGTTGATAAGAGTGGAATGAAATCCATTTCTGCGTTTTTTAGCTCCAAAACAAAGGCGTCAAAATAAACACTTGCTCCTGAAACAGTTTTATACAGTGATGTTTGTTTTTTTTTTTTTTTACACAAAGCTAAAGATGCCCCTTGGGGCTTCTCCTGGTTGGTGTGTTGGGGATGTGTCTGCATGCAGAGCGCAGTGCCCCGGGGCAGCCCGCGGCTCAGCCCAGAGCCGGCTCCGGCGCAGCGGGAGACCTGCCCTTCCCCGCAACACCTTTTAGGCAAAACCTGTTGGATTCGTTGGGAGCATCATTTTTTGAGGCTGTTCTGCCGAGTGTAACGCCAGAGTGGGATGGCGTCTTCGGATTTCTATGTTGCCCCAAATCTGAATCTGATTGTGAGCATTGCTGTTGGTGGCAATTTATCTGGGCAAAGAGAGGGCCTATGTTGAGGTTTTGATTTTGATTTTGCAAGAAACAAATTGCAATAAATGTCATTGTGAATGTAATACAATAAACTGCTTTGTGTAACAAATTTGGGCATATTGTGCTTGCTCTATGTTTCAAGAGTTCAATTGGGCGTCAGGACGTAAGTTATGAGCTTTTGGTATTTCCCTGTGCATAAATCTTTAATCTGTAAAGGCTTACAGTATCACTGTGGCCTTACAAGATAAATCTCTTAACACATAGCAATCTAGAGGTATTTTTATGTTTAGTTCCAAGGTCCATAGGTCCATATGAAAAATAATTAGAAGGTTTATGTAAAGATGAAACTGAGAGTTTTGAAGAAGTCTGTTTGGAGCTGGATGCATAGTTCAAAAGCTTAAATATGGATTAGATCAGGTTTGGCTTTAGAAAGAAATGCACAAGGTAGGACTGTTATTTAGAAAGCGTTCCTCGCTCTTGGCCATGTTCTTCCCTCGTGGAGTATTCCTATATAGGCATGAGGATAGCTGTTTGCTATGTTATAACTTCCATGGTTCACATAAACGAAATGGAGTCACTGGAATCGTTTGTAAAGATCTACCAAGCACTGCACAAAACCGGTGCTTAGTTTCATGCAGTAATTCTTCCACTGAGCCGAAACTGTGGATGAGCTTCAAGGTGTGTTTTAGAAGGACAGCCAGTCTTTAAATACTTCATTATTTGCTGCTTCAGCTCTGTAGAGCATCTGCTTGTATCATTTGACAGGGAGGGCTTTGGAGAAACTAAGAGTTTCTTCATTCTTAATAGTTACCCTGTTTGCACGGCAAGCTTGTTGGTCTGCAGTTGCACCCGCCGCGTTGCAGTGTTTTCCTGCTAGGCTAAAGAGCTCTGTGGCATTTTCTTCCAACTGCAAATGAATGAAAACCCTTGCTGAGCACTGTGCACAGTGTTGCTGGGGTTTGCATGCCTTCCAAACGAGCGTTTTTCCAAAGTTTCGTGTGTAGTTTCTAAATGGGGAAGTCGCTATGGGTGGAATCTCAGGCAGAGGAAAATATTTGGAAATCTGCAGTGAAACAATTATCTTTGATGACAGGAAGATTTATCTCACAGTTGTGGATACCCTCTTAAAGGTGTTGAGTCATGTATTCCCCATGAAATTAGACTGAACAGAGAACAAGTGTATAATGAATGCTCCTAGTTTTAAAATGTTTTTCTGGAGTGGATTATCAGGGTCCCAAAATGCAGTTCCTTTAGTAAAATGCTTTTCAGTCATTCTGAGAAATCTTTAATATAAGTCTTCATTATCTCTGATAACCAGCCCATACTATGAAAATGCGTGAAGGTAAATCAAAAAGTCTTTGACTTAGATGCAGAGATTTTATTGATGCCTCAATTAAAATCATTGTCCCAAGTCATCTGGTGCTTTTAAAAAATTCTACTCATTCATGATGATTTTTTAAAGTAATACAAGAGGTAGGAGCAAAAGGGGACAGAATGTGGGAATGTGGGAAATGCTGCGTAGAGCCTTAGGGAAGTTCTTGTGATACCTGGCTGCCTTGGTCTTCAGCTTTCTTAATGAGTAGAGTTTCCTATTCTGATGTTAGCTGTTAGATAAGTTTAAAATTTATGGTAGATGTTATTGCATGTGACATTTCTCTACATGTTGTCTTGCTTTTTTTCTGACTTACCTGTAGGCTGTAAGTGAAGGCCTGCTCTGTAGCAGCCTGTATTGCAGTAACAAAAGTGATGTGATTCGGAAAGCAGAGCTAGTTTGGTGAGCCCAGAATAAGCAAGTGTGATCATAACCCAGAAGAGTGAGATTTGGAAAAGCATTCGGCCTCATCCAGCAGTTCTCTTGGAAGGCATCTCCTCCCTTGCCCCAGTTCATATCAGTAGGAGAAGATGCACCAAGGGTGACGGTTTTGAAAACAACCACTCAAAGTGCAAGAAAATATGAAAAAAAAAGTACATACTGTCGTGTTTATAGAGAAGTGTTGAGCAGTAAACAACGTCTGAGGGTGCTTTTTTGGTAAATGGGAGGAAAGAAACTGTGTGTGTCTGTTAATGAGAGAGCAATTGCAAGCACTGGAAGATGATGAGAAAGCAGCGAGCCCGGGGAGGCGCTTGGCCGGAAGCCCAGGGAGAGCTGCCCTAGAAGCAAAGGACCAGGCAGGCGCGCGGCGGCACCTCTTGCTCTGCATATCCAGTTCAGCTAACTTTAGGCTTTCTGGTTTTAACGGCTCAGCTATCTAGTGAAATTTTAGCAACATGCCACAGACTGAAGAGTTTGAGAGCATTTCTTCTAATGAGAAAGACCCAGTTCCTCTGGTGAGAAGTTAGGGCGGGAGGAGGACAATCCTGCTGCAGATGGAAGGTCGTTATTCCGACTTCTGAGCTGCTCTTCGCTTGTTTTCATTGTGTGGCTTTCACATCCCTCTCTGCAGACGAGCACTGCCGTAGAGATCTCCCCCATGCATCGATGCAACATGCTCCATGGGTCGCATCTCCGCTTCCCGCTGCCAGCCGTGCCGGCGCTTCCCACAACAGTCATTTCATTAGTGACCGCGTCTCTGTTGCAGCAGAGATTTGTGAATGACAAAAAAACACAAGCTGTTTCCAAGAGCTTTCGCATGAAAACAAAAACTCTTTTCCCTTTAGGAAGGAATGAAATGCATGTAGTAACTTTGAAACTTCCCTAACATGTAGCTGTAAGAAGTTATGAAGAGCCTGTGGTGCCAAGTACATAAAACAATATTTCCTGCCACAATGAGGACTTAAATATAGTTACTCTGACTGGCCAGCAGTAGCAGTAGGTCATTATGAAGTGCTGCTTTGCTATTTCTTGCTTGGTTAGCTTAGCATGACACAACGTGCCAGCACCATTGTAGAAATGCAGTCTTATTTTATTTCTTTTCCAGGATTAACATGTCGTCTCTGCATGTTTATGCGAATATCTGATGAGTTGTGTTGCTTTTATAGTTGCCGTTTGGGGATTACAGAGCTCTTGTATTTGCACTTTCTTAGACTTCTCATTACAAAAGAATTCACATCACCGTGCATGGAAAACTTCATGTGGAAATACCAATACCGACTTGGGGATATTTTGGGGCTGGATGTGTACATCATTTTCGATCTTAAGTAATAAATTTAAGTGAGTTTTATTTGCAGAAATGACACCTGGTGATTTGAATATTTTAGTGCAAAGGGTGGTACAATCGGCAAAATTTGGATTCAGATCTGGAAATTAGGAGAGTTCAGTGATTTTTGTTTTCAGGTGTTCAATCGTATCTGTTTTTAAGCTTTTTAGAGTGCATGGATGTGCATGGATGCGTATTTGAACAGACTGGTGTTTATGCCTAGTTTTTTTTCTTCTTCTCTTCTAGATGCCTGTGCAAAGACATTCAAAGAAGAAATGAAAGGAATATAAGGAGACTTGCTAATATCATTTTAACTCGCCATAATCTCGAAGCAGCTTTTAAAGGCTTTTTTTTTTAAACGCACTTTCTGAAAATAAATGCTTAAAGTTAGGCCTGCCGGGTTCCAAGAAAAAGCAAATCTCAGCAGATTAACATTGTTAAATATGCACTGCGTTAAGCATACACTGCTTCAAATTTTATAGCTCATACACTATTGGTCTATCGGGCCCTTCCAGGAAAGCACTTACGAGCATGCCTAATGTTAAGCACATGAGCAGTGAACTTAAAGTCAGCAGCGCTGCTCGGGTGGGTAAGTGCTTTGCTGGACCAGCGCCTGAAGCCCTGTTAGGTGCTGAGCATCCTGATCTATATCCAGCAAAGCACTTACGTCCACGCTTATCTTGAAGTGGAAGAGCCGGCCTAACTAATATTTGTGCATTAGTGTTCTCCATAAAATCTCTCTTGGCACAATGACTCACGTGCTTAAAATTAAGCACCTGCCTAAGTGTTTTGCAAGGTCAGACCAACAGCACCCTGAAGTCTTAAATAATTACTTGATTTTGTTTGAATTTTCTTTGTTGTTTTATTTTAGAAGGGCATATGATTTTAGTGGCCATAATTTCAAGTTTTGGAAGATACATGATGAAATATGTTCTATGCATTTTTTTTCAAAATTTTCAAAATTTAGTCAAATTCAGCAAAATACCCCTTTGGACTAAAAAGTCCAAGTGTTCGTTCTTAGCATAATCAAAAATATATATTTTTAGGATATTTCAAATTTTCTGACCACTAGCTCACCGAATTTTGTCTGAATAGCTTGGGCCAACCCTGACCTGTTATCCAGAAAATGTCACCTAGCTCTGACTCCATGAGCAGTCTCTTTCTTGAGCATGAGCTAGGACATGTGTTGGTAAGAACAGAAAAGATGGAGAAGTTTTGCTTTTATTTTATTTTATTTTTAAGAGATTAGTATCTAAACATTCAAAGAATACTTGTACATTTTATGTTGAGAACTGGAAAGCTTGAATTTTCTTTTTGAGGACACTAGTGCATTTCTCAGGGTTCTCCTTGTCCTGTGTCATCCTCCAGATGAAAAAAAAGGGACTTAATTTTACTTTTTTATTTCATTTAGGAGCCTCATTCAATGGAGTGTACTTTGACCAAAATGTCAACCCAAAACTACATAAAATAGGAAATAGATGTTTATGAGATGCTTACCTGCTCTGTGTCAGATGCACAGTCTTCATATTTTTA